CCGCCACACGCGCGCTGCCGGTGGTCGGCTGCGCCATGGGCGCGACCGAGGGACGACGCGCCCTCGCTCGTGCGCGAGCGGCGCGGCCAGCAGGCTGGCATCCAATCGACACTCACGTGTTTGCGACGCGCGCGCACACCAGGCAGGATGCCCCGCAGGCGCAGGCGCGCTGCCCGCTACGGCGCGCGCCGCTCTCGCCCCGCGGTGCCCGGGGCCCGCCGCGGGCGGCTGCATCTGAACGCACCGCCGCCCCTGGGCCGGCTGCTGTGGCTGTTGACAGTGTACATACATATGCCACGGCCCCATTGTTATGTACACAATAGCTCCGACTCTCCCCTCCACCCACTTTGGACCCCATGCAATGCACAGCCCTGCTGCGGCGGCGCGTCCTGGGCAGCTGTAGGCCGGCCCCCTGTTGTTCTTGGGACCCGCCACTGATACCCTCGAATTCACCGGCCCTTTCGCCACCCCGCTACTATTCCCAGCTCTTGCTAATTGGGCCATGTCCTTTCATTCGCGCATTTGTATGACTTGCCCATTTCAAAATCGTGTGTTTTGCATCACGTGTGATAGCCCTGCAGCCAAGTGCCGCTCCCCGCCGCGGCCGGCGGGGCGTCTGAAGGCAGCCCGCAGCGGCCCCGCTACACAGCGCAGCCGTCGCGGCGGCTCGCCCCCACGGCTCTGCGGCGGGTTGGGGCTGGTCATTCCGTGCCCTGTCCCGCCGCCCGTGCGCCTGTTGATTTGACTCTTTGGCAGGCCCGTGCGCAGTGCTGCACCCGCACTGAACCGTCGAGCCTGCAGGCTGCGTGCCCTTCAAATAACACCCAGCCGCAGCCCATGCCGCCGCCGGCCCCTGCGCGGCGCCTCGTGGCCCGCCGGGGCCCGCCGGGGCCCACGCCGCCGCTCCTCCCTCGCCACATCCAAGCGGCCCCCTCCTAAAAACGCGCGGGCGCGCGGGCCCAAGCTGGCCAGCCAGCGGCCAAGCAAGCCGTGTGAGGGTTTGCATTCATTATTCACCGGCTTCCGAGCCGCAGCACTGTTGCCGTCTGCATCATGACACAGTGCCAAGCACAGCCGTTGACTCGGCGCCTCGTCACCGCTGTGTGTTTGGTTTCCTATTTTTGGGGCCCAGCTGCAGTCGCTGTCCGCAGGGCTGATGGGCCTCCTCACAGCGCGCAAAGCGAGCACTGAAAGTAACCTCGGACCACGACTGGCTGCTATGCTGACCAAGTAATGGGTGCATCGGGGCTGAGCAGGAACGCAGGGCTTCGGGGACCGATCAGAGCGCCGCTCAGCGGCAACGAGGCGGATCGGCGGTTGACGGCCAGCAGCAGAGCCACGTCCCCTTCCTCCCACCCCCAATGCAGCCGCCTCGGCCCCTCGGAGCTTCGTTCTCCCGGGAGGCAGCGCCTGCCAACGCGAGGCCCCTGGTACAAGCGCAGACGCCCCTGTCTAATCAGTCGTGGCTTCGCTGCATCGGGTTGCATGGCCAGCCCTCGCCCGGGGACCGTTGCGCATTGGCGCACATCCTGCACGGCAGCCCCTCCTGCATGCATCGCAGGGACGGCTTGCTGTCGCAGTGGCAGCGAAGTGCAGTTTTGCGGCCGCCGTTGCCGGCGGGCTGGCGCCCATGCGGCTGAAGGCTTGGGGCTTCGTGGCTGCCCGGGTTTTCGCGCGCGGCAGCCAGGACCACTACATTGAAAAGCGCAGGTGACCAGCGCCGTCTCTAGGGGAGAGGGGGGCCACGGAAGAGCCGTGGCAGGCGTGGTGCAGCCATTCGGGGCCTGTGCCTCGCTTCCCATTGGGGAGTGGTCTGGGGCCGCGTTGCTGCGAGAGGGCTCGCACAGGCACCGCAAAGGCTGTGATGCGCAGGGCGAGTGCGATGTCCCTAGGCTTTGCGAACGGACGGGCCGGCCTCGACGCGTGCGGGGCGGCGGCGTAGCGCTGTGCAAGGGTGTCGTGCGGCCCGTGTGTGCTGGGCCCCAAGCGCACGCATGCACAGAATTGAAGGATGTCTCAGGGTGCATCTGAAGCAGGTTTACTGCAGGACAGGATGGGATGAAAGAAGATGAAATCCGATGATGCCCCGCAGCCCACGATGGGCACGAGCGCCAGCAGAGCAGGGCGGGCGGCAGGGCAAGCGGCAGGGCAAGGGGGGCCGTGGGTTGAAAGCAGTAATGTACAACTAATGGACGCGGGGCGGAAGGGGCCGGGGGCGTGACAAACGGGTGCCGCTCGGTCCACTAGCCCATGCACTTTTTGGCGCCAGGGTCTTCTGAGGACTCTTTTAGGTAGCTCTGGATATTTGGGTGGGGGGAGCGGTCAAGATTGGCTTGTGAATGTCACGTGGGTGTGTGATGAAAATGCAGGCCATAGAATGGAGAGGGGTGCGTGGGAAAGTGTCCGGGCGCGCCGGGCGTGAGTGCTGCGGGCGCTCTGTCGGTGCGCATGTATGCGAGCAGGCGTGAAGACATGCGCGTGCGTGTGTGTGTATGTGTGTGTGTGTGTGTGTGTGTGATGACACGCTGGTTTAAAACAAGTTGAGCACAGCAATGCAATGCGGTGCATTCGACGGCTCTGAGTTTGAGGCGTGAGCAGCCCAAAGCAAAGTGCGGCCGGCCGCGCACCCCAAGCATAACCCCTCCTCCCCAAAGCCTGGCCGCACCCCGGCCGCGCCATGTCCGCACCTGCCACTCCAGGACCCTCACAGACGGCTGGCTCTCATCATACACATCCTTGGTCGGCGGCGTGTGGCGCCGCGCCGCCGCGAGCCGGCCCGCGTCCGCGTCGCCGTCGCCGCCGCCGCCGCCGCTCTCCTCCCAGACGACCGCAATGGGCGCCCCCACGGGCAGCGTCGCCCCCTCCGGGGCCAGGCGCCGCGCGAGCACCCCGTCCTCCTGGCGGGCCGGGTGTGGGTGCGGGGCGCGTGCGGCTGTGAGGTCGCTAAGCTGCTGGCCCCCTCGCGGCTCGCTCTGCCGACGTGGCCGCCTTCACAGGACAGTGTTGAGAACCGCAGCGCTGCAACATGACGGCCGTGGTTCAGACCCGTCCGACGGCTCCCAGCCACATGGCAACCCCCACGCACATCCTCAGCCCTCGCCCTCCTTCGCCGCCCCTTTGATCCCGACACGGCCCCCGCCCTCGCGCACACGCAAACCCGCCCGAGCGCGCCGACGCGCGACGGCGAGGCACCTGCCTGCAATGACACGCGCGCGTCGGCCGCCCGCCCCCAGCCGGCCCCAGTGCCGCGCCACACTACGTCCGGTGCTGACAGCCGCCCAGCTGCCCCGACTGCTGGCATGACACAGGGGCTCGCGCCGCGCGCACCTGGCTCTCGATGAGCAGCGTGACGCTCCCTGCAAAGTCCCCTAGTCGGTAGGCCTCCTCCACCAACTGCTGGGTGTCCACCTGCAACATTCAGGCACCCGTGCAGTCGACCAATGGAAAGTCAGCCAACAAGGAAGAGATGAGATGAGGCAGGGCGACACCGACCCAAGTAGGGCCTGCACTCCCGCGGCGACCGCATGCAGGCTGCACATCTGAGCGTCCCGTGGAAAGGGGCTGGTGGGGCGGCCCGCGGGCTCGTGAGCACTTCGGTGCCGCACGCGGTGTGCGAAGCCGCGCCTCGCCACGGGCCCCAACCGCTGGGTGGGCGGCACGGCCCCAACAGAGCGCGCACCGGCTGGTTGGGGCGTCACCCTCCATATGCGGCCTCGCCGCCGCCGGCGGCGCCGGCATGCGTACCGCGCGGCGACTCATCCCTGCCATGTGCACACCCCATGGCCAGCCGATGGCGAGATACACACCTCGCAGAGCAGGTCGTACTGCTGCACCCGTTTGCCTTCCGCCTTGAGCCATCTCCGAATGGTGCCCTCCTGGCAATTCAAGGAGCGAGAGCGGTTGAATGTGCGGCGGTGCAAGCGCATGTGCTGTGGCAACGGCATAGTTTATGCCGAAAGTGGAACTGTCCTGCGCTGTCCCACGGATGCGATGCTCAGGGCTGAGGGCCGCATGGTGTTGCGGTCTGCGCTGTCCTTGGGTGGCAGCGCATGCGATACGTGGATCAACATGCTGCCCACCTGCATCTCCGGGCTGAGTTTCGGCATGGGCAGTATGAGGAGGTCGTCTGGTGGCGGCACCTCGTGCGCTCCTGGTTCGCCGCCGACTGCTCCTGACGCCGCCCCTGCACATGCGCTGGTGGAGCACGCCAATTGTCTGTGACATTGCGGACTAAGCAATACGCGCGCTGCAGCCCTTGCTGCCGCGAGCATTTTGGAGCTGTGCGTCGACCAAAGAAGACTCCGGCTGATCTGCGCCGTACTTGGTAGGCTACGGATGAGTTGTGACGCAGTGTCATTCGATAGCAAACACAGACGGGGTTGGCCTCATCTCTATGGGCAAGCACGTCGTGCTGGTCACCTGGTCATGGCACACACAGCAGCTACGCTAGTGGAACCTTGAACAGTGCGCCTGGCCGACACCGCCTGCGGCCTTCCAACTCGCCAGCACCTGCGCGACAGGCACATCTGCCTTTCACAGCACCGCATGGCTGTGCGATGCACAATGCAGCAATACGGACGGCTGGGTCGTGCTACGCATGCTGCGCTGCAGCTGACGGTCGTTATTCAAAACGCACCTCAGGTCTTGCCAGCTACCTAGAAGGAGCGAGCACTCTGCGGAAACCTCAACCGATTGCCCATCATCCTAGGCCCTCTTGACATTTGTGGCGTGTGCAGCGAGCCCGCAGATGCGGCGGCGCCCGCAGCGAGGCAGCTGCACCAAGGGCGCGCTGTCCCCGATTCGCTGGTGAAACCTGGCGCGCAGGGCGCGCGGATCGACACAATCCAGCGACCGGCCCAACGCGGCCGACAAGAGCCGCACGACCGGACAGCGGGCACGGGCGAGCGAGACAGCCCGTATCATCCGTGAACGCAGTGCATACAAGGTGCAAGCTGCGGCAGGGTGACGAGGCTGCGTCGATCCTGGCCGCCCGCGCGGCACCGGTGGGTGTGCACCCACCACGGCCGCCAGCGGCATGCGTTACACATGCGACGCGTTGTGCTGGTAGCCCAAGGCGTGGCTGGCTGATTGTGTTTGCTGTCTGGCACTGATTGGAATAGATATTTACATTTTGGGGAAGCTGGAGACGGAGCGCAACACCGAGTAGCGCCCCCAACCTTGATAAGAATGGCTGCGCCCAAAGCCCAGGCAAAAAAGCAGGTGCATGAGTGGCCGGCCAGGAAGGGGCACTTGGATTATGTACAGCGGCGCGTAGCAGCGCGCCCACCGCTGCCGTGGCAGGGCTTATGAGGTGAAGCTCGTTGCAGTGGGCCAGTATTGGTGGGGACAGCTTTGGAAAAATGCACGTGAGGGCGCGAGGCGGGGTGACCGATGGCGCCTCGCGCCCCAGTTTTGAGGGCAGCGGGCGTGGCAGGGTCCTGAGGGTCCAGTGCTGAGGAAACCGACACCGAAAAGCATGCGGGCTGGAAGAATGCGCACGGGCTGCGCGCCGGTGGGGAGGAGGGCGCCCGCCGCGCCGGCGGGGGTGCCGCTGTTTGTCCCTGGTTTCGGCGCCGTGCAGCGTTGAGGGGCCGACAGACGGCAGACCCTCAGGCGCAACACATCTGCTCTCATTGAGAATATGGCCCTAGCCACGCGGGCAGAACCTTATCAGACCTGGACCGGCCGGCGGCGATTCGGCAAAGCCGGCGGCTGGGGACATCGGCGGCGAGCAGTCAACGGGGCGCACGGCCGCGGCTGCAGAAACGTGGGAAGCTCCTATGAAACTCTTCGAACCGAGCCTGGCGGCGGGCGACGAAACATGCACACCGGCGGTACGGTAGTCTTGCCTATTAAAAAGCTCAAAAGGCGGGCCGGCAGGTACGCTGCCTGCCGCAGTCAACAGCCCCAGATCCTGCTTACGCCGCAAACCCCAGCTTCAACTCAGCGCCTGCCCCAAACTCCAGTCGAAACGTGCCAAACAAAAACGTCAATCGCTACTTGCCGCCGCCCAGCGCCGCCGCCTGCGCCTGCGCGCGCAGCAGCAGCGCGCTCATCTCCGCGCCCACGCGCTGCTTCTCCCGCTCGCCCAGCGCCGGGCTCGCCAGCAGCGCGCGCAGGACGGCGC